GAAGAGCATGGCCGAGGCACAGAAGTTCCACCTGTATCTGGGGCCGTGGCTGCAAAAGCGCCTCCCGCCGAAATGCTGGTCGACCAGCCCGACACATCCCCAGTTACCCCACCCGTTAATAACAACGCGCCAAAGTTACACCCCGGTTACCCCACCCCTTAACAACGAGGCCGCTCAAGTCGAAACGCACAACCCTTCGTCTGTCACAGCCATCGACGACACTGCTTTAGCACCAGCTCCTCCGCCCGAAATACCCGGAATTGGAACGTCGCCAGGTCGAATTCAGCAGCAGTCTCAATCAGCAACACCGTTGCATATTGCCAAGGATCCCATTCCCTTCGACAAACCTGGGTATTTACGGCGCAAGCTAGCAGTCGAGGCTGCAAAAGCCGACTCACCGACCCCGCCTTGCCCAGAGGAAACAACGCAATCACGCTGGCTTTGCCGCGTCTACACAGAAATCACAGGGGAGAAGCTGGGTGCGACATATAACTGGATGCTGGCTGGCTTCCTCTCGCTCGAAGCGGCATACGGATATGAGAATGGCGCAGCTAGGCTGTCTGCAAGCGATCGCGCATCCCAAGTTGCCAATTGGATCCGCTACAAACGGATTGCGAAACCTGCTTATTGTGGAATCAGCGACCCCGCGGCATTTGGGCTGCAGTTCTGGAGATGGTGGAGCGGGAACCAACCCTCATGGAGATCAATCTCTGCCGAGGGCCGACCGGGGGCAGTGGAGCGGGATCGTGAGACGGAATCGTGGTCGAAAATGATGGCACCAGGCATTAATGGTATGCTGACCGCCGTGGTCATGCTGTACTGGTAGGGCTGCGAGGAGAAGCAGCGGGAGACTTGGCCGAACGAAGGGTGGATTGAAGCGGTGAAAGATGTGGGTGAAGTTAGTCGGGCAATCGAGGAGGAAATTGAAGAGAAAAGGAAGACAGGGAAGAAGCGAAAGGCGTCATAGTGCTCTGTAGAAATGAATTAAAATATTCGTCTCTTGCTGATTGAAGATTTGACAAGATGGACAGGAGAATGACTTAGAGAGAGAAAAGTCGCCAGCGTAATCACGTGACCAAAGGACTTAGAATTTGTCTTCTGGCGCGGTAGCGTTCACAGCAGTAAGCTAGGGGTTGGTTTTTGCAGCTTTGTATGGTGTATAAAAGCTAAATAAGGTAGAGGTCAGTGAGCTGAACACATAAGAGAGGGCCATTCACTGAGAACCTACTTGCGAATAGGCGGGGGACATCGGGAAGTGGTCGGAGATTGTCGGAGGTGGGTGGAGGTGATATATTGATGTAAAATCAATGCAGAATTGTTTTCCGAGCGGCCGAATGGCAGATTGGAGAGCCGGATGGGAACCATCAAATGTGATTGATGCGGTCCCAAAAAGGAAAGGGCCCACCTAGCCCCTGCCATTTCCGGGCGGCAAGAAGCCTGTCAAGTAGCCTAATCTGCCTATCAACTGCTAGGAGCCAGGGCTTCCTAGGGATTTAGGGTACAGCCTATCAAGCAGTTCCTAGCCTTTATTAGGCTATATCTTACCACTACGGCTCGCCCCCTCCGACGCCCCCGTTCGGATTCGCCGACTTGCCTGGGAGAAAAAGCTACCTGGCAGCTATACCATCTCTGCCGCTCCTGGGGTTAACTCGCTCCACCTTCCCCTCGAACTTGAGTCCACCGCGAACGCGCTCAAGCTCTCCCTCTCAGGTCTGGTCGACTGCGGAGCCACTTCGGACTTTATCGACACAGAATACGTCAACCGAAACAACGTGCCAGTCCGAAATCTCTCAGTACCCATACCGGTCTACAATGTCGACGGTACCCCCAATGATGCTGGGTCTATTTGCCAAATCGTGGACCTCGTTCTACAATACAACGGACACTCCGAACGCGTTCAGCTGGCTGTAACCCACCTTGGGAAACAGGATTTGATACTCGGATACTCCTGGCTCAAGAAACACAACCCCGAGATCAACTGGGAAACGAAAGAGGTGAAAATGAGTCGATGCCCCCAAAGCTGCTCCACTTGCCGCGACGAGGAACGGACCGAGCGCGCTGAGGTTCGGCGCCTCCGACTCCTCAAATCGCGTTTGCTCTCAGGCGCCTTCCCCACTGTTTGCACTATCAATATTGCCGGTCCAGACGATGCTGACGACGAACTCGGAGCTACTTCGGACCCTCCGAGTCCCTCACCAGATCTCGACGATGACGAGCATCTTGAAGACAGCGACCGCATCTTCTACACCTCCTTTCGCCCAATCGAGGAGATTCGCGCTGGGAGCACCGTGTCCCAACGCCTTGCAGGGGCCTTCGCCCGTAACTCGGCCCCCCCGCCTTCGGAAATTCCGGACTGGGCCAAGGAGTTCCAAGACGTCTTTGACAAGGAGTCCTTCGACATGTTACCAGAGCGGAGGGCTTGGGACCACGCTATCGAACTCGTTCCCGACGCGAAGCCCGCTAATTGCAAGGTGTATCCGATCTCCCCCCTTGAACAGCGCGAACTTGACGAGTTCATCGAGGAGGGACTTGCCACCGGCCGTATCCGCCCTTCGAAATCTCCGATGGCCTCCCCCGTCTTCTTCGTTAAGAAAAAGGACGGAGGACTTCGGTTTGTCCAGGACTACCGCGCCCTCAACGCAATGACAATTAAGAACCGGTACCCCCTCCCGTTGATTAATGACCTTATCAACAAGCTCAAGGGTGCCCGTTATTTCACTAAACTCAATGTTCGTTGGGGCTTCAATAACGTCCGGATTAAAGGAGGAGACGAGTGGAAGGCGGCCTTTCGGACTAACCGAGGGTGGTTCGAACCTTTGGTGATGTATTTTGGCCTGACGAACTCCCCCGACATTCCAAACGATGATGAATGACATTTTCCAGGATCTCATTCTTTCAGGAGACGTTATGATCTACCTCGACAATATCCTTATTGCACATCGAGTACCTGGGGGTTATCATCTCTCTCACAACCACGTTGAAATGGATCCCGTTAAGGTCGCCGGAGTCTCAGCGTGGCCTCCGCCCGAAAACAAGAAGGACGTCCAGCAGTTTCTGGGGTTTGCTTATTTCTACCGCAGGTTCATTCGGGATTTCTCGGCCCTTGCGCAGCCTCTCTTTGCGCTCACCAAGAAAGACCAGAAATGGACCTGGGGAGACGCCAAAGCCGCCGCCTTTCAAGCTATCAAAGACGCGGTCATCTCAGAGCCCGTCTTAGCAATCCCGGACGACTCTCGGCCTTTCCGACTTGAAGCAGACAGCTCAGATTATGCGACAGGGGCGGGTCTTTCACAACAATCTGCCCCAGACGGGAAGGGGCACCCTGTAGCGTTCTATTCCAAAAGCTTAAATGATGTCCAGCGCAACTACGAGATTCACGACAAGGAGATGCTCGCGATCATCCGCGCACTCGAGGAGTATCGGCATTTCCTCGAGGGCGCCACACATCTGGTCGAGATCTGGACTGACCATAAGAATTTGGAGTATTCATCGTCGAGCTCCCCCGAGGCTCACGGGTACGACGCGGTCATGGTAGTCGTCGACGCTCTTGGCAAACGCGCTCACTTCACTGAGTGCCATACGACAATAGACGCGGTCGGAGCCGCCCGGTTGTACTATCGGAATGTCTGGAGGCACCACGGAACCCCCGAGAAGTACATTTCGGACCGTGGTTCGCAGTTCATTGCTGACTTCACGCGCGAACTCTGGCCCTTAATTGGCGTCAAACCGGCCACCTCTACGGCTTACCACCCGCAAACCGACGGACAAACCGAACGCGTTAACCAAGAGCTCGAGCAGTACATCCGGATCTTCACCAACTACCAACAAGACGACTGGGACGAGCTTATCCCTGCCGCTGAGTTCGCCTATAACAACCACGTTCACTCCTCCACTCAACAGGTACCCTTTATGACGGACACTGGTCGGCTCCCCCGAATGGGTTTCGAGCCAGGCGCCCGCTCAGAGTTGGAGTTGGTGAACGAGTTTCGCGACCGGATAGCTAACGGCGTCTCCGAGGCAAAGGCCGCGCTTGTTAAAGCCAAGGACGAGTATAAACGGTACTACGATCGGAAACGTTCGGACGCTCCGAATATTCAAGTTGGTGATAAGGTTTGGTTGGATTCTCCCCCTATATGTGGCCGTCAAGCTGCATTTATAGATTATATTTATTGTTGAGATTACATGAGTATGAGGGCAAGTTCCAACTTGAATGCCCACTGGTGCTTTCAAGTATGTAGCTGAGCTATATGTTCAATCATTAGATCATGTCACACATTGTCACAAAATGAAAGTTGCATCAATCCTCCTCCTATTAGGTAGGCATAAATCTCCTTTGACTTTTTAGGTGAGCATAGGAGGTTGGTGGCAAGTGAATCGAGCGGCCGACCAATGGAGCAGATGTAAGCCAGAGTGGTGAGGAAAAGTGGGCCACAATATTGAATAAATGATATTCCCTCTCATAATTCATCTTTTCTATATGTATTTATAAGCAAGCATACTTGAATATCAGGTTTAAGTAGCGTTTTGCTGATATCCTGGAACTGCATTTCCAGGTTTTGAGCCTCACCCAAATATTTTCCAAAAAGGCAATTTATTTTCAGAATATATTTGCTACAATTTTACAATATTACCCATCATTGCCTGGTTGGAACACTGATAAGGCAGATCACCGACAAGAATACATAGAAAGTGAAGCAAGGTCTTAGTCAGGCGCAGGCACCAGAGGCCCTTGTTACATAATCACTTGAAAAGCAATCGTGTATGATGTACCATAAATATACCCTGCGGCTGGAAGCTAAACCATACAGTGTGTGTGCTAAAAAAAAAAGCAAGCCGAGGATGGCCGATACTTGTTTCCCCACACTGTCACGGCTCCGGAGTTCCGACCATCCGGTCATTGGGCGGCCCGCCCCGCTTATAAATTACGCGATATCGACGATCGGCCGTGTGACCCTCGTTCTTCTGCTCCACCACGTCCCTGAACCACAAACGACCCCGCTATGGCTGAACACCCCGTCTTCGATGCCAAGAACATGCCCTTTCGAAGGCTGGGTCCTACCGGGCTCCGTGTCCCATTGCTCTCCTTGGGCGGATGTGCGTCATTTCGAAGTATCGTTATCGATGAAGCTAACGGCGCGGTGCAGGGCTCACTCTCGGCGGGTCCGTGACCGGTGACCCCGTAAAGGTGCGGTCATCCACAACCTCTTCTCGGTTCCTCGCGTTTGACGGCGGAGCTTACTCCAGGAAATCATTAAAACGGCCTTTGAGGCGGGTATCAACATGTTCGACACCGGTGCGTCTACCATCCTTTCGGACTGCCCAAGCGATTGATTAGAGCCTTAAGCCGAGGCATATGCCAAAGGACAATCTGAGATAGAAATGGGAAGGGTTATCAAGGAACTTAACTATAAGCGTTCGGACCTGGTCATAACGACGAAAATTTTCTGGGGACTTCGCAGCGGGCCAAACGACACTGGACTTTCGCGCAAGCAGTGCGTAATATTCTGCATCATCCGTATTCTGTAGTTCATATCGCCAACAGCATTATTGAAGCAACCCAGGAATCTCTCGAGCGACTTCAGATGACCTACGTCGACGTCATATTCGCTCATCGCTACGACCGCACTGGTACACCCTGTCGTAGCCATGGTTCTTGAAGCTGACATATGCCAGTTCCGATGGAGGAGATTGTTCGTGCATTCAACTTCGTTATCGAGAAAGGCTGGGCGTTCTATTGGGGTACCTCGGAATGGAGCGCGGCCGAAATTGAGGAGGCTTATCGTGAGTTGGCTCATATATTCTGCAAAGCTATCATTCTCTGACTTGCTAAACTCAAGACGTTGCCACCAAGCTCAATCTTATTGCACCTATTGCCGAGCAAATGCAGCACCAGTAAGAATTTTCCGCAACGCCGAGGTCATTGAGCTAACCTAGATACGCAGCATGTTCCACCGCGAACGTCCAGAGAAGGAATATGAGTGCGTCACATTGGAGATAAGTAATTCAGTTGATCACATTGAACTCAGGGCTCTGTATCGCAAGTATAACTATGGAACTACAATCTGGTCGCCGCTGGCTTCTGGGCTCCTGACTGGCAAAGTATGCCAAATGATCTGCCAGCTTTCGTGCTTATCGATTGTTCTAGTATAACGATGGTATCCCGCCCGATTCTCGCTTTGCCCGAGAAGCTATGTTCAAAGGCAGCGCTGCGAAACTGCATACATCCGATGAGGGGCTCCAGAAAATCGAGAAGGTCAAAAAGTTGACCAAAGTTGCCGAATGTGCGTTTAGGATCCCCACTTGAAGCACGAGCTAATGACTGGTGTACTATGATCAGCACTAAACTCTACCCCGACTGCGTTAGCTATCGCCTGGTTGGGACTGAAGAAATCGACATCGACGATCATCCTCGGCGTCAGCTCTGTTCCACAGCTTACGCAGAACTTGGAAGCCCTCAAAGTTTTGCCGTTGATTACCGACAAGCACTTGGAGGAAATCGAGGCTATTTTGGACAACAAGCCAGAGGAATTCGTGAGTCTTCCTCGGCTGTCAGTGAATAACCCGCCGAGTCTGTTGTGTAGCCGACTTATTCACGTCCGCCGCTGGATTTGCTTGGTCGGTTGTGAAATGAGACAACACAGAGAGAAGAAGATATCATCATCATGTAGAAAAGAAAATATTGAGACAACGTTGAATGCACTGCTAAGAAGGGCCATGCGCCGAGCTACATATGTTTGTTCATGAATGGGTCTCTGCGATGCCCTCACACACTTTGACTAGCCGCTCGACGTCTTCGCGTTGCGGCTCGTCGGCAATATTGATGCTGTTATCGCATCGCCAACGTGCTGCGATAATCTTCAGACCATTCCACAGGGCAGCATTCTCGGTATGCAGCGGCTTCAGCAACAGCCGCACGTTCGATGCCCCACCGTCTCCCACCTCCACGGCGAAAAGATGGACCCAGACCCGCCCTTGGGACGCTGCCGATCTCGCTACCGCCTCTGAGAAGCCATCGGGAGGCCACCTATATCCACGTTTGATTTCCCCCATGTGAGTCACGGAATTCATGTAGGGGGCAGAATAAACGTTGACCGTAACAGCGCCGGCTGAGAAATCAAACTCGAGACAGGGCACCTCGTCAGGGTTCTCAGTCCAGAATTTCACGATCTTGACGCCGATTTCAACCTTCCTGCGCGCGTATTCGGCGGCTAGCAATGCACGGAAGAACTTGTCGTCTTCTTTCTTCAAGGAGAGCCGTTCACCTGTATGATTGTCCGTCCCGTCGCAATCAACAGGCTGGTAAAATGCACCTTTTCTTGCTTCGTTTAGTTTGGGACATTCGTGGCGATGTGCTCCGGTGCGATAGTCTTCTCTCTGGCATGCTTTTGAGCAGTAATATGCGACTAAACAGCCGGTGCACTGCTTGAATTCAGTCTTTTTGCGTATTTGATTGCACTACTCCAATCAAGGTTAACGTGGGGTGACAGTAGAGTAGAGCTTTGAACCTTGAGATTATGACACGCTCGCAGCGGGGCGATTGTGTTGCGACAAGAATGAACGAAAAAGGCCGAGCGCCGCTCCACCAATTCGACGAAATGATTCCATACTTTGAGAAAGGCGCCGCCGATGATAATGTCGGAAGGGGGCTCAAGAGTCGGCAGGACGGGAGATAGGGACACAAGAACGGAAGGAAAAACAGTTTTCCCTGGAAGAACGCGATCAAAAACGAGGAGTAGTTCTTTCCGAGTCTTATAGGGTGTAGGGGGAGTAAGAAGAGATAGGAGCCCAGCAGAAAGGGAGTCCGCAATGCTACGCGCACCCTTCTCGGTGAATGCATGAGAGCACAGACCGTCAATCAAAAGCTCATGCACGAGTTCGTACAGGTTTTGGGCAAGCGACGACTGGTCTGCACTGAGAGCACGGCAGACAGTAACCAAAAGCGAACAGATGCCCGCATCCGGAAGCATAGAGATGAAGCTTGTACTGTGCCAGATCCTGTGCAGAAAGTAGACCAGGCCGTCTGCGAGCTTCACTGTCTGCGGTGTCGCAGGAGCTGGGGCTGGGAAAAGATGCGCAAGATGTTCGATGATGAGGTCTGCGAGAGCATCAAGCCCGCCAAGCTGGTCGCTGAGCTCCCACAAACAGGTTTCTTCGTCGTCTTCATAGGCATCCTGGGTCAAATAGTTCAACCCAAAGGAAATCATTTGCAGTGAACGCAGGGATTTGTCGCGAAACAGCGTTACCCAGGCTCTGGCCAGCATGGCGCGCACCCCAGGCGTCTGCAGCGGGAATGCGGCACGGGATTTATCCACGTGCGACGTCAAAGGGAGCGATGCGAGTATGAAGGAGATGTAGACTTCCTCCCGCGGCATAAGGGGCAGCTGCTCGTAGAGCTGGTCCAGAAACTGGGCCCAGAACCAAATGCGCTCCCAAACGGCCGTCGCGGCGTCTTCCGGTATCGGAGAGCTCAGGAGCACGGTGGGCGCCAGACTGAACGTTGTCTGGAGCTGCGTGAGACGGCGAGCGAGTCTTTCGGCGCCAGCGACACCCTGCTCAAGAAGCTCTTGAATGATGGCCGAATCCGGTTCGAGGAGTGCGTAAAGAACGGGCGTCACGAAGGCATGCTGCTTTTGCGGAAGCGTCTTCAGTGCCTCGAGGAGAGCGTCAAGCTTTTGCAGATTCCCTTCCACCGCCTCAGTGGCAAGTTTCTGCACTTGAGTATTAGCCGGAATATAGATTTTGCAGCGGTGAGCTCGTGCACCTTATGGCGAAAGGGCAGCTTGTTGAGGTTCGACAAAGCCAGACTGGGGTGCATCGTGAATCGTGATTCGTCCGTGACGAGGGAAAGGAAGCAAGATTTGAAGGTCCCGAAGTGGCAAATTATTCCCACGCCCAGATCGACCGATGCCCGAGGTCACGTCATCACCTTTTTCTTTTCTCCAACTTTTCTTCACGACGAGAATTTCATTTTGGTCGATGAACTCTCCTGCGTCCTTAAAACCTTTCCACGCACGAACGCACAGCAAGCAGTGAAGCACCCCTAGCCAATCTTCCTCAACGTTTCTCGACATCTCGACATTTGGCGGGTTTCAGGCTCGGAGCCAAAACATGTGGACCTTGACGTCGCGTAGGTGATCAAACTTTGGCGGCCACTCTTCCCCTTCTCCCCTTCCCCTTCATCCCTTCGTCTGCCTCTCCCTTTTCCTGCGTGCTAGCACGCTCGACGCTTGTCGTATTCGTCTTTCTTTTCCTTTGGTCCCTTTCTCGCCTCTCGCTGGCCGTTTTTCCACACCACTCGTTCGAAAATGGCCGGAGTTGACCTCCTGTGCGTCATCTGCCTGCCTGTACCTCCCGCTGACGAGGCCCGCAGATTCGGCCCGATGCTCATCGGTGTCCTCCTCAACATCCTGCTATACGGCGTCATGGCATCGCAGATGCTCACCTACTATATCCGTTTCCCGCAGTGCGTCTTCTTACAGCTGGCCGTTCGCTAACTGACGTCTTCGGCAGCGACATGCGCGCCATCCGATTCTTCATACTCTACCTCTTGATTGTCGAGACTGTCGTTGTAATTGTGGAGGTGGGGATCATCTACGAGCCCTTGATTATGCGATATGGTGTGTCTTCCAACGCGTTGGTTCCATTCTGGGTGGCTGAAGACAAGGGACAGGAACTGTGGAAGCTCTGACGTCTCTGCCGAAACGTGCGTGCTCAGGCCCATACCCTCATTCACGCTGACGGCCTTTACTGATAGTCCTCCCCGCTGGTGAGTCACATTCTCCTCATTGACATATCCGTTCATGCATTGTTGAAGACGCTTTTTTGATTGTATTCGTTGCGACGCCCGTCCAGCTCTTTGCTGCGTGGAGAATCTGGGTCATCACCCACTCATATATCGCTCCAATCATCATCGCCGCGTTCTCCACGGTCTCCTTCAGTGCGTCTCCCACTCTCTACCTATATCCTCTCAACCCTTTTCGCAGTCGGCGGCATGTTCCTCTCATTCGCAGTCTCCCATTCCTCGCGCTTCAGCGACTTTAGCCAATTTGCCGTCAAGGCATCCGTATGGCTTGTGTCGAGCGCCATGTGCGACATCGTGCTCGCAACGGCGATGGCCCATGCACTCGTAAGCCGCTCCCGTCATCGACGACAAGGGTGTAACTTGAGTTTACAGCTGAGCAAGAAGACGGGGAACGATAAAGCGGTGGATGGGTACATCAATCGGATTGTCCGTCGTGCGTATAAAAATATTCTACCTTCATTGTCTCCATTGCTGAACTAGATATCAGTGTCAATCGAGTCTGGCTCCCTTACCGCGGCAGCTGCATTTATGGATGTCATCCTGACCTTGTCCCTTCCGGTATGTCTAGACATGACGTTATCCCGCCTTGTCTGACCCATCTTCGAAGAAAACTGCGCTCAACTTCGTTGTGGACTTCCCGCTCTCAACACTTTACACATGCTCTTTGTTGGCGCTGTATGCGTCCTTTTTTATGCGTAGATTTGCTATTGACACCACCCACAGATTGAATGCCCGCGACCGCAAGCCCGTGGGAGCTAGCACCAGCGCATCTGACGCGGAGAAGCTGCAAGGCTCCACTATGGCGCCGTCCGAAACCAAACACAGCCTTTCGACGCTGCCGCCGCACGATCCTGAGTCGCTATACCCGCATTTGCACGCGGCCAAGGAACACGGCTACGCGTCGTTTTACAGCTACGACTCGCAGAGCCCGGAGAAGCCGCGCCGCTCGAAGAAGTCCGACTCGGCCAGCTCGAATGGGTCCGTCACGGTCCCGGGCTCGCCGGTCCGGATCAAACTGTCGCTGCCGCCCCCGCCGAAGCGTCTGCGCGACCGCGATGAGAGGCGAGGAAGTACGGGGAGTGCATATAATTACCCCGCGCGGTCACAGACGACGGCGGTGTTTGGTCGGAGTGCGAATCCTGTTGGGGAGTATCATGGACGATAGTACTGTGGTGCAGGTACAGTAGTGACAGAGACGGGAGTGCGTTGTGTCTGAAAATAAGCTAGATTGGGAGCCCTTGAATGCTTGTGGGAAGATTTGACTCCACCGCCGGCGATATCGTCCCGCCGGAGTGTCATCGGTATGATAAGCTAAAAGTAGCCTGCCGGCAAGCACTCCACACCTTTATCCTTGACCTCATGGACGAACAACCCCCATCTCCAGCCCCAGCGACAAGTTCACTGCTAACAAGCCGTGTGTGGGGCATTATCCAGCTGCTTCACCTACTCTTCATCCCTTTCATTTTCGTCCAGCGCGCAATTGACGACGGCGCACCCAGTCGGAAGCCAAGCGCTCATCGGCAAAGCGACTGGGAGGCGGCCAACAGCGCCGCGCCGTTCCCCCGCCGACTGCTGAGCGTGTTCGAGGAGTGGACCACTGGCGTTGCTGTGCTCGTGGTGTACTTTCTGCTCCTCGGGGTGTTAGGGTACGGCTCGCATCGCCTTCGGGCACGACTCTTCTCACCGAGGGACCGGGAAGACGATTCGGTGACCGCGACAATGGAGAAACTCGAGCGGGGTCCTGGCACAGGTGACGAGCGAGAATCGCCGACTCCGTCACGCAGCGCGCATGAAGCGCTCATCCACCAGCTCTATGTATCCCACCCCTGGCGCCGCGCTACGCTCGCCGTCCTGTCTATCCTCTACATCACGCTCATCCTCTCTGCCCGCGAAGTCGTCTCGGTCGCCCAGACGCGCAAGCAAAATCTTCGAGCCCTGCTGCACTTCCTCTCTGAGGCTGGCGGCGGCGGCGTTCTTGTGGGCGCATGGGCGCTTGCTGCACGCTTCCTTTACCTACGGGCGAAGATCTGGCGCATGACCCGGGGCCCGGCGGTCTGAGTCCCATCGTGAATCAACAAAGGATAATCTCAAATGCAACTCAAATGTTGATCCATACACAAATTCCCAAACTTGAAACCAAACAGAAATACTTGTCCTTCATTTTTTTTCTGATATTAAATAAACAAATGTTATTTAGCACTTCCTATGTTACCATGCAGCTGAATTTGGTAAAAAAAAGCTGCGAAATGTCACCAGTCAAAGAGAATTTTCTGAATTTGATACTGGCCATTATTATTATTATTATATATTTATCACCCCGGGCTGAATATTGTGCCAGGGAGAAGTGGGACGAGGGTTTCCTGTAGAAGACATGTTGGGGGTCTGCAAGAGATAGAGAGGAATAACACATACCTGAGGTTCCTTTTATCATCAGGTGAGTGTACTGACCCATTTCGATCAATTCAGCGGGCCTGTGACCCGTGACCGTTTGGCCGAAATGTTCAATTTGGCCACAGGCCGAATTTCACATGACCTATTACCCAATTAGGAAATTTGGCGTGCCGGTGCAGAAAATTTGAAATCTTACCCAATTGGGACACTTTGGGACCAAGAAATTTGGCTGTGGCTGTGACCCGCTGAAGCCAAAAAATCCGATGAGTCCGTGACCGGCCTAATTGAATGAAATGGGCCAGTATTTTGTGAAGCATAGGGTTGCACTCACGCTGCTGGGATGTGCTAAGAGTCCATTGGCGTTGAGGCAGCTCATCGTCGAGCGAGACATGGCAGTATGACATTTGATCATCACAGACCCAAAACGGTCAGTTTTCATGATAGTGATAGGAGCAAGAAAACTTGAAGAAAACCGTTTATTCAGGGGATCCTGACCCTCTGAATAAATCCAAGACTTTTAAGGTTTATTAGCAGCCCAAATGGGGATTTCGGGCTGATGGGGCTCCTGATGGGACCACCAGCATCCTGGCAAAGGGGGTTTTTTATTGCAAAACATTTACAAATCCCTTGTGGGAAGTCACCCATTCACATAAATATATAGGATTGGGAATTACTTGCAGCACCCTATGTAACAGTAAGTAACTCAATTCACATGTCCCACAGATTTAGGGAAAATCATGTCCCAAAAAGGATAAGGTATGATGTTTCTGGTGGCAAATCTGGCCCCTGGGTATGTCCAGTGCCAAGAATTGCCCAATTAGGAATAATTCACATTCAAACTTTTGTATCAGATGCCACAGCAAAAGTGATATTCAAATTAACTAAAATACCACAGCAATTTCCTGCAGAATAAAGAAGATGATTACTGTACAATTTCAATTAATTCTGCCTGTAACAGTCACATTAATTCTTTTGGCCGAAATATTTCTGCCTGTCGCAGGTTACAGCAGGATTTTTTGGTCCCAATCTATCCTAGTATGGTATTAAAAAAAATTCGCACCTCTGGTGCGCAGAACTACTATACAAGGTAGGATGTCACACAAAAATTCGGCCTCTAGCCAAATTCTAAAGTTCTGCCAAAGTGTCCCAGGTCACAGCCACAGAGAATTGAATGAAATGGTACAGTATCTGCTATTATCTATGGCAAATATTTAATCCAACAGATTGATATTCATACTGAATTTTTGGTCAACTTAGCTCCACATTTATAGCTCCACATTTAGCAAGTTTTATTTGTCATTTATCAGGGTTTTGAAAATGGACCTATCTTTGTCAGACAATTTCTCATAAATAAGTCCTTTTGGAACTATTTTTTTGTCTACAACGCCACTGTGCATGGCTAGTGCTGTCCAATTTTGATTATGAATATGAAATTTTCATATTAATATATTCTCCCTGCATTTGTATTCATATTCATAATCATAATTGAGCTCAGAATATGAATATATTATGAATACATTCAATTATATTCAAGCTTCAAGTCTGTACATAGTGCATATAATCCACCCTATCTTGTGGTTTTGTAAGGGCAACCCTGGAGACTCCGACGAAAGCCTAGCAGGGGATGATCCAAAGAGAAGAAACTCTAAGGGTCCGCCTGCTAGGGCGCCAACTATATACTGGTCGTCCGTAACTGCCGACGTAGAGTGCAGAAGGCTTGAGCGGTGTCGCAGGCTCTGTCCCAAGGTGATCGTTGGGAGGGTCTTGACGGATCGGTGATTGTGCGGGCGAAGGAGGCTGTAGACGATGGTTGGGGTGGGTCGGAGCGTCCGAGGGGGCACTGGTCAGATGTGCCTCGGATGCGCTCGGACGGTCCGAAGGAGGCCGAAGCAGGGGTTCCCCTGACAGGTTTATTTAACCACTCCTTGGTTATGATTGTTTCTGTGGCCAGTTTTGCAGTCATTAAGGCATACCTATCTGCCATCCTATGCTTGATGCTAGAGAACAGGCAATCTACAGACATACTCCTTGCAGCAATGACTAGGATTGGTAACATAGCCTGGATATTCTACAACAAAATATTAACCTAAACAAAACTCTAGGTTAATCATGATACCTTCACCAGCCAAGAGTATAATCAAAGTTCAGGGCAACAATGTAAAGGTCAACTGCAGCCTTCTGTCAGGGCTGGTGTGGATGTTGTTCTGCCTGATTTACTGCTAAGAGCCATTGATATTGCAAAGACTGAGTTTAAAGATGTTGCCACTGCTGCTAGTAGCCTGCTACAGAGCTAGTACTTCTGACTGAAGGGCTTGCTGGTGTATTTGAATATAATCAATTATGGTCAGGGTATAATATATTATATTCATATTCATAATGTATTCATATTCATAATCACTCATATTCATAAAATCACTCATATTCAATGGGTCTGATTATGCAGAGGACATAATATAATCATATTTATTCGAATATATTCAAAATATATCCTAGCATAATATAATTGTGGACAGCACTATGCATGGCCCAGGCCAAAGGTTAAGCCGAGTCTAAAGTTTCCCCTCCTTCTTAATTAAGTGTGTGATTTTCCTCTCTCTCCTGAGTCCTAGCCACAGACATCCGCCATAAGCCCGGGCCTATCTAGTTGACTCTGCCAATCTTATGAACGGCCGCCGCCCATACATTATACATTGATTCGATGAGACTTTGGCCGTTTGACTTCCGCGCATTTTGGAATTTCCTGGCAGTGATGCCTCGCTTCCTTTCGCTTCGCCGCAGGGTCGCTGTCGAGGCTCTAGCAGACAATGTAGCTCAGACTGTGGGATAAAGCTATTTGGTACACCAGGTGTGACAGTACACCGTGCCCCAAATAGATGATTGTCTATTTGGTACACTGTTGGTGATTGATGTCACAAGTGTTACACATAGATCTCATTTGATAATTAGAGCTTATTAGCTGCCAGGATAAACACATTTTGTTCTTTTCTAGTTCTTCTAGTTGCCGGCTGGAACCTTCGTTCTAAAAATTTGACAGGTGGATCATTTTTCCTTGAGATTTTTGCCTTCAACCTATAGATAGTATGTAGCCAAAGCATGTTTCAAACACTTGAAGTTTTAACATTGTTCAGATCTACTAAATCCAGAATATAAGAGTGGGGATTTTGTAGTTATGTGACAGTTGTGAGTGGCTGGTAAAACCTATTGATTCAATATTTAAACCCATTCAATCTCTTAAATATTCCACAGAACTGAGTGCTGATAGTCTCTATTACATTGAAAAACTGTGTTAGAATAAGAGTTTATGGCTTGTTGATGGAAATTGATGGCCTTATCGGAAATTGATTGACACAATCGGAAATTGATCGCTCCTTATCTACATCTCAGTCTGGTCCCCGCTAACAGCAAAACTACCTGGGGTGGAACACAAGTCACTAATATCTATAAGATCTCTCAAAATTTACACCATATTTCTATTTTCAAGTGAAAAAAAGAGATTTCTCTGTGATTTGTCGCACTTGTCACACTTATCACATTACGGAAAGTCAATCAAGTCATCAGTGTACCAAATAGAAGGACACCGTGTACTGTCACAGATCGGTGTACCAAATAGCTTTATCCCAGACTGTGCGCCAAAAAAGTAGCTGGATTGGCGGGGCGATCGCGAATCCGGGTGTGCGGTAGTTGATTCGCATTCACGTGCCATGCCTGAGACTGATGCACTGGACGATGTGACCGACGTTCTATGTGCGGTGCGCGGTGTATCCGTGGAACGCTGACGTGTACACTGTATACCCGCCCAGCGGAGGCAACAACAGCACGACGTCTGACGCAACGACGCCAGCCATCGTCGGAGGCAAACGACGCAATCATGAATCGCAGATCGATCATCGCCGGGAGCAACGGGGGACAGAGGTCACGGTGGTGCGGTTGTTTGTTTACCCATGCGACAATCTTTGATATGCCTCGCTTGCCAGTGACGCTTCTCACAGACTGTTATCGCTGGCAGCGATGCGGCTGGCAGCACTATTGGCGACGCCCACATCCACGTACATCTTCCATTTAGTTATATGCCGGGCGGAGACCAGGCACAACGGCCTCCGTGCGGAAGCGATGCCTGCTCAGATGGCCGGGTGGCGCACGGTGGATAGGGCCATCCACACTCGCTTAGCAAGTGCACACTGGCGCGCTGATGCGGTGTGCAAGCGAGCCTTCTGTGCTTCTACTTGGCAATTTTGCGGCTTGGACCCCTTCCTCCATTTAGCATCGCCGTTCTGCGCTTGCCTCCCCCCACGACGTGCTGGCTTCCACTCCCTGCTCAATTCCTGCCAGCCCTCTGCCCGAGCCAGACGCCGGGCGTCGACGGAGTATTGGAGTCAGAGCATGCCGCCCGCGAGTGGGTTCGGGGCCCTGCAACTCATGTGCGTCCCAAGGCTGTCCCCTTCTCTCGCTGTGGCCCCCACTGATTTTCTCCTCTAGCCTCAGCATATCCGCCGCGTACCTCAACCTGGTCCTTTACACCTGCGAGCTCGTGCTTGCCGTACGCTACCTCCGACGGAAGCACCCCACCCCACCCCGGCCCATGCACAAGGCCGCCGTCATTCTGCTCCTCCTTTCCGACACCGCATCGACCTTCACGTTCTGCTTCACGGGCATTCGCACGGCGCTCAATGGACCACTCCCCGAGATACTCCCGCGCAACATCGGGCGCTTTTTCGGCCCGTTTGCGGTCGTGATCACTACGACGTACCTCTCCGGCGCAATCGAGCAGCTATTCCTCTGCAATTTGTTCTTTGTCCTCACGCGCAACCGCCCCGTGAGCCTCCTGCTGCTATTGATGACTGCGGTGCACGTGAGTGAGATTATTGCCAGCGTTTGGTCTAGACTAACAGGATCAGCTCGGGTTTGCGTGGGCGACAGGGATCGTCGCGGCCGTAAGGCAGAGCACACAAGGAGTAGCGCTGATGACGGCCAGGTGCGTGATTGTCTGGCTGGTGACCGGCGTTTAACGTGACCACAGCGTGGGCGCGATCATGTGCGCCGCAACGGACATTGTCATTGCGGTCGGGCTCGGCTGGAAATTCCTCGCGATGATGCGCGATACGCCAGAGGAGCATTCGATCAGGACGTGCGTGTCCACCACGAAATTTACACCAATCTGACGGTTCACCTAGCCTGCTTTATAGAATCCTCATGCTCACCGTCTGCTCTGGCGCGCTTGTCGCAGGCAACACCCTCATCGCGATGATCCTCCTACTCAACCACTCCCTCGGTCCGTGGCCCGCCCCGCATTTTTATGCCCCATTGACTTTGACAGCATTCACATTCTTCTTCACGTGCCAGGGGCGCGTCTACGCGCTCACCCTCCTCGGCAACTTCCTCATCGGGATCCCCGCGCAGCGTCGGCGCGTCGGCCCGCCCACGATCAACGTCGGCACCGGCTCGCACTCGCTGCCCATCTTCCGCACCACCGCTGGCGACGGCGACGACCACTTCGACACCGAGCTCTCGCCCACACCCACCGCTGCTCGTCATGGTGACCCCGACCGCAAGTTCGCCCCCGCCGGTGCGCCAACGCTGCCTTACATCGTATGTTCTCTCCTCCACTGTTGCCGTGTAATCACGCGCTCATCACAGACTGCGCAGGCGGCCACGTCCCATTCGCTCCACCTCCCCGGGATGAGCAGCGTCGACAACAGCAGCTCCGGCTCCGACTCCACACCGTCCGCGCACACCAAGTCCAAGGCCGCCTCGTCGGGCCGCAGCTCTGGCTCGCTCGACCATGAGCGGTGATATACTTCTTTTGCCATTGGGATCGCTATATGTATCAGTAAAAGTAGGGTAGAGTCGTGGTTCTAGTGTACATTCTTTAATTATAGAGATGGCTACTAAGGCGCTGTTCGTCAGAGAAGAATGGGACGGTGGTAGAGGAAGCGCGTGGCCTAGACAAACACGAAGACGCCGCAGCCGCCGCGCAGCGACTGATGTCTGCAGCAAGGAAGTGCAGATTGGTTGTATGTCAGTAATCCTACTGTCGCGCGGCCAAATGGTGGGAGGTGGAAAAGATGCTGGAATCAAGGAAAATGATCCGTGCTGGGATTGAACCGACACAACGGTTCGGGAAGTGATGATGTGATATAGAACGCGTAAGCAGCCCCGATTCGGGCCAGGGAGTGCCCACAATCGCACCAACGCAACGGTAATTGCGCCCACTATAGCGGACGCACAGGAATTGGGTCAGCGAAAATTACACATGAAGTCAGCAGAATTGGTCAACGCTAGAGCTTATATAAGCGAAACTCTAGCTATAAATTTGCGCTGTATGTAGACCAGAAAAACACTTTTGAGTCCCCTGATATTGGGTTGAGTTTGGATCTGATTAAGGAACTGGACCTTTACCAGGAAGAAGATAATGTTTGGCTAACAGATTCTCCAATATTGATCCGACATAACATCTGAATTGCAACTGACATATAAGCCAAATCCTGCAGGAAACAATGGTCTACCCAATAATGTGCGGTGGCCAAGAGCATGTGTGAAAATGGGAAATAAACCCAAAACACTACACACAACTGGCTCATAGCGGGTGAGGTCGGGGCTCCAGACACAGTATATGCCTGCTGTAACCAAGACAAACATAGAAAAATAGCTAAATCCAAGATCACATGGGTAATGATCAAAGATCTGATCAAAGTGTGACATGATGTCACCAACATCACCAAACACAAACAACAACACACCAAACATCCACCAATAACACCAATCTAGAAAAACATAAAACATACCTTTAATCTTCTGTCTAAATCTCTTGAGTCCAAAAATACTCCAAAACCATAGTCTTTTTGAGGTTCTCCCTGTTTCCCTTGTTATGTTTGAGAGCAGCATGAGCATCAACAACACAGTCTCCAAAGACCAGCATTGTTCCAAGTTGGGTCGCAACATCCGAAGAGTGCAACGTTCCAAAAAGGCAGGACGCATCAGCGCTCGATCAATCCATCAAAAGTGGGATCAAAACTGCGATGGGATTCCCCTCTCTACCTACTACAATGGCTGCCTTATATACCTGTACAGAGTGGCTATGCTATGAGTCAATTGAGCCATATGGTGTCATAGGGCTATGTCAAGGCTATGACAAGGCTGTGAGAGCAATGGCTGCGCTCTGATGTCATCAAATGATGTCACAAATGTGACGTCACTATTATACCATTGTGACATAAGCACTATTATGTGCTAGAAAACCTGGAAATATGTTTTAATGTTGAAAATGTTGGAAACTTGAGATTTTGGAGATTTTCAGATATGCTCATTTGGGCAGCCTATCACCGAGAGGAAGAGGAATGGACCTACACATCAGGATACGGAATCAAACCCGGGTTTTCATATGTCTTTGATGAATTGGCCCAGATGGGACAAGGAGAAGAGGCAGCCGTCCTGTGTCAGGGGAACCTCCCTTTCGGCCCGGAGACGCGCCCGATTCCGGTCCGACTCCGGTCCGGCCCTCCATCTCGCCCGCACAATCACCGATCCGTCAACGCCCTCCCGACGGTCGCCCTGGGACCTCGCCTGCGACGCCGCCCAAGCCTTCTGTGCCCGACAGCGGCAGCTACGGACAAGCAGTATATAGTCAGCTACCTAGCAGGCGGACCCTTAGAGTTTCTTCTCTTTGGATCCTCCCCTGCTAGGTCAGCTTCATTTGTATTCGCTTACCAATGTTCACTCTTTGGATCCTCCCCTGCTAGGACCTTGATCTCAGGCCTCCGGGGTTGCCCTTACAGCAGAAGAAACTCTCTACGGGATCAACTGGACAAGATTGCCAGGTTCGGGCGCTGACTCAGGCTCGGAGTACGAGTCCGTTCTGCCCTCGTCACCGCCCCTGCCACTTGTCCCCTCCTCCTCTACTCCTGTGGTCCCCGCACCCGTCATGCCGTCCGGAGTCACTCCTACCGCAGACGCCCGGCTGGACTCACTCGAGGCGAAAATCGATAGCCTAACTGAGGCCCTTGCTTTACTCACCAACCAGGCTTCCGCTGCTGCTGCCGCCGCTAATAATGCTGGCGGACCCCAAACACCTTCGCCGGAGACGTCGATTCCGACTCCGACTCCGGTCCAGGGCGACTCGAAGCCTTTTTGGCGACATCAACCTCGCCTCAAAATTGGTCTTGCGACCAAACCCCCTTCACCTTCAACGGCGACCGGAAATGCGGCCGCGCGTTCCTTTACGCGGTCCGCACCTACGCCCGCCTTGCCCCTGAGGCCTTCGTGGTCAACGGAGAGGCGAGAGGAAAAGGCTGTCCGCTATGCCATGTCGTTTATGGCAGAAGGACCTGCTCAGCAATGGGCGGAGCGCCACGGAAGCAAAGCCCCGTTTCCGTTTCCGTCCTGGGGCCTCGTTCGTTTCCGAGTTTCGACTCCGGTTCGTCGAGGAGAACGAGCAAGATCACGCTCTCTCCAAGCTGGAGACTTCCACCTATCACATGGGCACGAAGGATGTCTACCAGTACACTGACGACTTCGAGGACCTGATGGACCTCGCCGGATTCGAAGACGTGTTGGTCAAGGTGACCAAGTTCCGCCATGGACTTGATCCCTTGATCAACAATGGAATCATGTCCTCGAACGACGCCCCGGACCTCCAGGATTACCTTAGCTGGCGCACTCGGGCCTTCCGTCAATACGAGGCCCTGGTCCGGGCCAAGCTGATCAAGTCAGCCGCCCCCAAGACGCCTGGCGGTTTGATTCGGACTCTGTTTCCGGTCAACCGCATCCCGGCTCCAGCCCCCTTCCGCCCGGTGGCTCCGGTCGTGCCACTCGCGGCCCGCGCCCCCCGCTCCGGCGCCTCCAGCTCCCGTCCCTATGGAGTTGGATCGCACCAGGGCTCGGGGTGCCCCTCGTCGCGCCTGCTTCAGGTGCGGCGACCCAAACCATCTCGCCCGGGATTGCCCCCTCCCCGCCGATGTCCGCTCGATGGACATCCTCGACGAGGTGATCCAAAAACTCGGCGACGAGATGTTAGCGGAGTTGATCGCACGCTACACGGACACAGCTGCCCTGCCGGAGACGATAGCGGAGTCGATGGCCGGAGAGGATTTTGTCCCCCGCGACGAGTGACTGGTGTGCCCTCGTTTGCGTCTATAAATCGTTAAGGAGAAAACTCACACTTCCAAGACCAATAGAGGATATGGTTGATGTGTCCAAGGCCGTTCTGGACAGTTTAGAGGCTGAAGATGAAGATGATCTGGAGTATCATGGTCCAGACTATCAATTTGATGGCATCAAAGTTCGCATCACTGATGCCGACGATGCTGAGGCTGAGATCAGCTCTTCATCAGAGTCGGGTAGTGACATTGGGGAAGATCATGATCCCAAAAATGATCCCAAAAATGAGCAGGACAATGATGATCGAAATGCGGGTTTGAGGCGTTCTCATAGGCCTCCAAAACCCAAGGAGCGGCAATGGTACCAATGACACCAGGCTTCCGACAAGTCCGAAAAAGGGCTAATAAATACAAAACATGATTTATTAGCAGGGCTACACTAAGACATTCAGAAATTGGGAAGCAACGGTTAAATGCAAGACAGCAGGAGACATCAATTCAAGAGGTTGCGCGGTGCATAAATAAGCTATTTGGGTCGAGACAGCTGTGTGTCGCGATCCTACGTGGCATTGTCGCGCAGCGGAATAAGATATTCGGGCTCAGGAAGACGCTGGAATGAGGCAGTGAGTAAAACGGAAGGAATATCACGAGAAGGGAGCATACCCAGGAAGGAGGAATGAAGTAGCCGCCGCTGGATGCGTCAACCGGTCCGCCATGGAGTTGACTAAGAAGATCAAGGATGCGACCACGCTCCTGCTCGATATGGAGGGAGCAGGCGTCAGCAAGGCCGATGTGCAAGTTTGCATAGTTGATGTCTCGTTGAAGGCTGGAGTAGGTGACGCCCTGGGCACTCAGAGCCTCGAGAAAGTTGGCTTGCTGGCTCGACACACGGCGAACGAGCATAATGACACGTAGCTGGGCATCTGCCAGTGCCGCAGCCATGCGGTTCTGAAGAGACTGAGCTTCGAGCCGGCGGATGTGAGTGCGGAGTTGAGCCGTCACTGAGGCTTGGGAGGGAGGAACGTTGGGCGCTGGAACAGCCGCCTGTTGGGCCGCGGAAGAAGGGGCAACCACAGACTGTGTTGCAACACCAACGACAGCTATCGCAGATGTCAGTTAAAAATGAGAGTGAAGAGCTGCAGACGTACGAGTCGGAGCCGGCACTGGGTTCAGAAGAGTCTGGACACGGTGTGGAGAGTCGACGCGGGAACGTTTGGCTGCCCGAGTATCCTCTGGAGCAGTTCGCGTCTTGACGGAGACCGCGGCGCTCGCGAGGTCTTGGTAGGGGTTCCGACCACGCGCTTTAGCGCGAGAGGCAGTCGGGGCCGTTGGTACGGGGTCGACAACGGCGTTGGCCATGGGGTAATGACGATAGATGTGTCTCAGGCAGGCAGACTCGGAGGGCGCCGGGCCAGCAGCACGGATCGGGACAGGGACCGGCGAGGCCGAATCCATGCGAATGGGGACGGCGGTGGTCGAACCAGACGCGCTCTCGCCATTGGGGGGCGAATTGACTTGGGGAGGAGCGCTAAACGTCGCTCGATTAACGAGAGGAACGTCCGGTGCGACCTGCTCGTCGGCATTGCGAAGAACTGGAGGGTCCGGTGGAGCAGAGATGAGATGGCCGTGGGGGCCAGTGGATGGTGGACGGGACTCGACGAGCTGAGCCTCATGCTCGTTTGTAAGGGCCGGACCAGTGGGGTCTGCTGAGAGACATCGAAAACTGCAGGGAGAGAGAGGAACAAAGAGCTTACCGGCGACTGGGAGAGCTCCGGACTCATGGCGAGTGGCGGCGGCGATGGCCGCAGTCTGAGGCGAGGATATCAGTCGCAGACAAAGTGCGGTGGGATGACTTGCCTTGCTACGCGTCAGGTGTCCTTTGTGAGCGGGGATCGCTGGCGCAACGATGGGAGGAGTGACAGAGTCCGTTGCGGGGCCGGCCGGCTCGGAAAAACGGACGCGGTCGCTGTCACGGTCTAGGGCTCCAACTATTTAGTTTTCATTTACACCTCCAGGTAAACTAAACGGAAATGGTAAGAAAACGTTTAGTAAACGTTTATTACCATTTAAAAACAGTTAAAAATGGTAATATAATAACATAAAATAATCAACAATTTTATGATACATACTTGAGTTTATAAGGTTTATTCAACTGAAAGATGACATTTTCTCACTTGTAATACTGTTCTAGATGGGCATGTAGGGCAAGATTCGGCTTATTTGATGCCAGATCATGTGATCAACTCCTTCAAGAAGAAGCCTACAAATGTAACAACTATCTCTATTTATGTGGAAGGTATGTTCTACACTAGTATGCATTTGGTAGCCAGATATATACTGCTAGTAACATAGTTATGAGCATGTCTGCTATTGTTATCAGGGAATAACCATTTAAACCATTTGTTTTCATTTATTTACCATTTACATACCATGGTAAACTAAATGAAAATAAAAACGGTTATAACCGTGTACAAACGTTTGTACACGGAAATGGTTCGAGCCCTACCGTCACCCGAATACTCGGGCATGTATCCGAGCTTGTATGTTGGCGAAAGCGACCGGCGGACCGTCGCATCGCGGAGATCGTCACTGGAGGATGCAGCGGTTGGTTCGGAGTCAACGGCGGGTAGAGCAACTGGATCGGCGGGCAGCTGGTCAGAAGAGCGGGGACGGAGAGGCTGTGGACCGCACGACTAGGCGGAAAGTAAACTTGGAGCAACAGGAAGAATGCTGCACGCACCGCGCTGTAGTAGGGCTTTTTAATTGCACGGCGTCCAAACTGAGCCCGAGTACCGTTGCGGGCCTGCTTGCGCACGGCGTCGCCGGCGCTGGAAGAGGAACCGTGGCCTTGGGCCCCCCGGATTGGCAAAGGAAGCAGTGATCTCCGACACCAAGTTTCGAATGGCGATAGTGCCGCCATACAGCTGGCCGTTGAGAACGAACTGGGGCTCGTTGTTGAGGAACGAGATGTAGGCGACCAGCGCCTCGCCTCGCCTGCGGAGCACGGAGAAGCGTCGGCGCGTGGCGCGAACCAAGTGCTGCGAGGCAGGCGACTCATAGCCACAATCTGTGAATACCATAAGGTTCAGTCAAGGATCGAGGAGAGGCGGCTACGCACTATGGAGCTGTTGAGGCAAGCGAGGTATTCGTGCTGAGATGCTTGGCTGGGACATTCAGGGCTGCCAACAATGTCGACAACGGCCTGGATAACTGAGTGTTGCGGCAGGGTTATGAGAGGTGGCAGAGTTGGGGTGATTGAGCCCTCCATAGATGAAGGACGGGGGAAGAAAGGGAATGAAGGGCCTCGCCTCAGCAGAGTGAGGATTTATGGCCATGGGGGAGAAAGAAGAGAAGCATGAGTACAGCCAGGAGAAGTGCGCCCACAGCCAGGTGGCGTTGCAACCACTTCGCGGGACGACACTAGCGTCGGAAATATGTCATAATGAATAAACAGGGGCTTCCGACTCAATATGGCAACTTTCATCAAACAAGGGCAATTTAATAATACAAACACTTATAGAACAAGAAATAAGTGTCTAATTAAGCAAGGATGGACAGCCCTTGATGGTGTGGCTCTTTGAATTGCAAAATTCACAGAAAATAGCACTAAAATTCAGTTAATAATGACAAAATGGAGAACCAGAGAGCAAACAAACTTAGGCTTCTTCAAAATCTGCATGTTCTTGACTGGGCGACGGGACCCAGAGGTCTTCCCGACATAAGTAAACTTCGAGTTGCCAGGCAAGGCACCTGCGTTGGTGCTCAAGGGCGCGTAATTCGGCATCGATATCACGAAGTCGTCGACGAAGACTGCACTCTTGAATGTCGGATTCACAGGACTGGACACCGGTGCCTTTGGGAAGCGAGGGCAAGGCTGAAGAAATTTATAAAAATTGCTGAAATGAAAGAAATATAATGGATTCTACCTTGGAGCGAACGGTGCGACTGATCGGCATCAACGGGATCGATCGAGCATTATGTCCGGGGTGATGGCCGCGCTGTGATCCATGGCAGGGTTTGGCTCCGGTGCTGCCTGGAACATCTTGTGGACTTGGACAACTGAAGAATGCTGATGGTCCTAATAAATGAGAATTTAGAAAAATACAGGGGAAAATCTGAAGAATACCAATAACCTGCTTAGGCTGCTGCAAGTGAAGTGAAGAAAACATCCTATTGAGCTCAGACAAAGTGGTGGAACTATCTAAAAACCACATACTGGAATTAGCATTGAGAAGGACAACTTGCAAAACTAAGAATAAGGCTTACCAGGGACAGAGCCTTTATTGTGGGAAGCAGTACCAGCATAGTTATGGTTGACTTGATCAACCCCAGAGGAAGAACCTTCCTAAAAAGGAAATAAATAACAGCAGCATCAAATAAAGTTAATTTAAACATACTTCCAAAAAATGGCAACTTTGAAGAAGATGCTGGGGACTTAAGCTGTCCATGCTGCTTGGACAATTGGCGCAAGTACTGACGAGCGGCACATTTATGTTCGCGGACGGCCTTGCGAGTATGTGTAATATCCTCGCAGAAAGAACGAATTTCCGCATAAACCTCTCCAAATGGACCAATAGTTCGGAATCCACTGTGTGCCATAGCAGCACGCCGGGCAAAGACTGATTCGCCTGTCACGGTTCGGGTCGGGCCGTCCGGGCCATAAGGCCGCACGGGCCCGCACGGGCCCGTATACCGCCATCCTCCTGGACGTCCCCTCATTCTTCCAACCCCTTCCGTTCACCCCTGCGGCCCTACGCAGCGCCCATCCGATCCGCCCTGGGACCTGGCGCCCATCCGATCCATCCCTAATACCGTAGCGTATAAAAAGTCGTACTTACAAGATGTAGTCGCTAGGCTAATATCGTCTATTCTCCGGGCGAATACCCATCTCTCGTGCTCCCAGACCCCTTCTAAGTCGGTCCCCCCGACGCCCCGATACGGCCCGAGCCCGACGTTGACAGAATATTAGCCTCTCCCACGAACGCAAGAAGCGCGACGAATGTCTACCGAGCACGACAGTACGATGGGCACCCCCGCAAGCCAGGGGGACGAACGTGCCCGATTCATGGCCCTGGGCCATAACGAACAACAGGAGTTCCTGTTCGCCCATCTGTTCCGAACGAGTCAGGAGATGGAGCAACTCAAGGCGGAAAACACCGCCCTGACGAATCGACAAGTGGTCCTCGAGGCCGAGCTGTCCCGAGTAAACGGGGAATACGCAGCTGTACAGCAGGGAGTCATGCAGAGCTACGATCTGCTCCGCCAAGCCAGAGAGGACTTGGCTCATCGGCCCCACGGGGGAAATACACGAGTGACCGTCTCTCCCCCTAAGGAGTTCACGGGCGACGCCAGCGAAGTAGACGCCTTCCTGGCCGATTGTTGGTTGGCCTTCGAAGCCAACCCGAATGTTTACAACGACGAGGTGCGAAAGATTTCATACGCACTCTCCTATATCAAAGGCGGGAACGCGGTCACGTGGAAGGAAAACGTCTCCCAAGCCATGAAGCTCCGTATCGCCGCAGCCTATACTACGTACGAAGGCTTCGAGAAAGCCTTCATCGCGGCCTTCCGCGGGGAAGCTCACGCCAAAATCGCGCAGCAGAAGATGGAAACCTTCGTCCAGACCAAAGACATGGACGTGACTAGTTATTTCACGGTCCTCGACTCTCTCAACAAAGTTGCGCACTACGACGACGTTAACCTTATTCGCGTCGCCAAGAACTGTATGCTCCGGGGCGTTACGAACGCGGTCTACCGAAAGGACACGCTCCCCGACACCTACGAGGCCTGGAAGGCAGAGGCCATCAAGCAAGACGGCGCACTCCGCCGCTACCGCATTTTCGACGAAAGCCACAAGGTTAACCACCCTCGGGCCAAAACGCCCCCGACGGCACCCGCCCCCGCCAAGAGCGGGCTCAGCAACCGCAACCCGTTCAACGGTTGGGCCCGAAACGCAGCGATCAGCGCCACTGGACCGACCATGGCCGCACCCCGAGGAAACGGGGCGACCACAGTCGCCGGACCCTCGACGGGGCCCGCGCCTATGGAGATCGACCGGGCCCAGGCCCCCGCCACGGCCCGCAGCACTCGCTGCTACAACTGCGGCCAGGAGGGACACATTAGTCGGATGTGCCCGAACCGGGCCGCATCGGCAAACCAGATCCGGGCTATCTTCTCCGAGTTTGTCAAAGATAACGCGGATAAAGCGGATTTTGGCGATCGTCGCGAGTGAAGCCTACGCCCTCGCCGACGTATACCACAAGTGTCTCTAGTTACAACCTGCATAATCGATATTCCGTGTTGCCAATCCAGAGATACGTGGGACCAGACGTAGAAACCAACCCCGAACAACAAACCCCGCAACCTACCGTTTCCGCCCGCAGAAAAAACCCGCATAAAACCATACGAGACACTCCGAGGCCCGCTTGGAAAGGTTGGCCCGCGGCCAGCGCCGAGAGGCTTGTCGCGCAAATTCGAGATCAGCCTGAGAAGGCTCGTTCGGAAACTACAACAGTGGATACATCCGGCCCGACAAGCCGAGAACGGGCCCGAACTAGAAGAGTTCATACGAACGGGGTACGCCCCCGACGTAGCCGAAGCTTTGCGACAACTGCAAAATGCTCCCCCCTTTCGGAAAAGTGAAGGCACCACAGCTACGCGGGTAGCCGTCACCCTTCAAGGGGTCAACGACCTCCGCGGGTACTCGGTTGACGCCCTCCTCGACAGTGGCGCCACCTCCGAGTTCATGCACAAGCGGTTCGCGGAGGACTCGCAACCGCACCCAGTCCCAGTGTACAACGCCGATGGGACGATCAACGCCGACGGGGCAATCACCCACGTCACCCGCTTACGAGTCACCATTCAGGATCACTCCGAACTTCTGACGTTCGCCATCACGGACACCGGGAACAGTGACGTGATCATCGGGCATCACTGGCTCAAGAAGCACAATCCCGTGATCGACTGGCGTGAAGGGGCGATCGCCTTCACCCGATGCCCGCCCGAGTGCAAGCGGGCCCGATTGCTGGAACAATGGGACGAAGAGGACAACGAACCCCTGGGCAAAGGGGATCGCCTCTTCGTCACGCGGATCTATGACGAAGGTTCGAACGCGCCCGCCCACATCCGGGCCATGCAGAGCGTGGCCACCAAACTGGCCGCCGCCGCCTACGCTGCCGAGAAGCCCCGAACCACCGAGGAGAGCGTACCCGCGCACTATCTTGAGGAATTCAAAGAGGTCTTCGAAAAACAGGACTTCGACAAACTCCCGGAACGGAGGAAGTGGGACCATGCCATTGAACTACACCCAGACGCCGAACCCATCAAAGGGCGCTGCATTCCCCTATCAGGAGAGGAACAGAAAGAGCTTGACACATTCCTCAAGGAACATTTGGCAACCGGGCGGATTCGGCCCTCGAAATCCCCATACGCATCCCCGTTCTTCTTCGTCAAGAAGAAGGACGGGAAATTACGGCCCGTACAGGACTACCGGAAGCTGAACGAGATCACTATCAAAAACCGATACCCGATACCACTCATATCGGACATCATGCATAAGTTACGTAACGCCCGGTGGTTCACCAAGCTCGACGTACGTTGGGGATACAACAACATCCGCATAAAAGAAGGCGACGAAGAGAAGGCCGCGTTCGTTACCAATCGGGGCCTATTCGAGCCACTCGTGATGTTTTTCGGCCTCACCAATTCCCCGGCCACGTTCCAATCCATGATGAACGAATTGTTTTCCAACCTGATCTCCCAGTGTCGCGTGATCGTGTACCTGGACGACATCCTCATTTACTCTAGCGACCTCTAAGAGGTCCTACAGATCCTGAAGGACAACCAACTGTACCTGAAACCGGACAAGTGCGATTTCGAGCGGAACAAAGTCGAATACCTCGGTGTGATCGTCGGGAACGGGCAACTTCGCATGGACCCGATCAAGGTCGCTGGCGTGCGCGAATGGCCCCGACCTCGTAATCTGCGAGAGGTTCAAAGCTTCCTGGGGTTCCTCAACTTCTATCGATGATTCATCAAGGACTTCGGCGCGTAACGCCAAGCCACTGACTCGACTGACCCGCAAGGACAGCCCATGGAAATGGGGACCGGAAGAGGAGGAGGCCTTCCAGACCTTGATAGACCGGGTCACTGACGAACCCGTTCTACACTTCCCTACGGATCACGGGGCATGGCGGGTCGAAGCGGACTCTTCCGACTTCGCCACCGGGGCCGTCCTTTCGCAAGAACAGGAGGGGAAGTGGGTGCCGA